TATAAAAATCACATGATGGAATTTGTTTTTTAAGGTTGCTTATTTAAAGTTAAAGTTAACCTCACCATAAAGTTGCTTGTGCAATCCTAATTCTCCCTCCTTGGTCATGTGCATTATAATGTCAACTTTAATTACATGGTCACATACTCTTTGTTCACAGGAGTGCATCATTCAGTGCACAAGAAGGGCCTGTTCTGAGAATAAAGCAGGGTTGTATACTGAAGGAGGCTGTTGTCTGTAGGACCCTGCCTTGCTTGTTTCACGAGCTGGTAGGGGTATAGTCAATGTGGCAGATATTGCAGAAAAAAAGGAGAACTTCATAGCTATGCTGACTACCAGTCTGGAGACTGGCATTCTATACCTGCCCCTGCCACAGAGATCCTATGTGATACTGAGCAAGTCACTTAAACCACACTAATCCAAGGTGGTCATTAATTCTGTGTTCCTCATCTCCTAGGTGCCCAGGAGATGAGGAGACCTGAAGTTTGATGTGTAGATATGCTAAGCATTCACAGCTACAGCAGAAATCAGTTGGAGTTGCATTCAGAACAAAAAGTGCCATAAAAGGCTAAATTCTCCAAAAAATCAGGCCATTGGCTTATCAACCTGGGCACCCCAATAAGTAGACCTTTGATTTCAATCTATGTCTCAGCTTCCCATCGCTATAGTAGAGAGAATACTCAGAGGGGTGTGATGGAAATAAGTCAGTTAATATTTGTGAAGCACTCAGATGCTAATGTTAAACATCATAGAAAAGCTTATGAGGAAATTAATAATACTTTATTCAGAGCTAGTTTGAATAGCAATAAATAAGGCCCTACCCTGAACAATGAACAGAAAGCCAATTATTATATAGTTACTTGTTCAGTTAGACTATTCATCTTGGCTACGACTACACTATGAGTTTTCTCGGCAAAAAATATGCTAACGAGGAACTCATTTGCATGAGTCGTGATCTCATTTGCATATTTTCTGTTGATCAGTTTTTGCGCAAAAACAAGTAGTGTGGACATTTTCTTTTTCCGCAAAAAAATTTTTTCTGCAAGTTCCTTATGCCCCAAAAAAGGAGGTATACTGATCTTGCGGAAAAAGGGGTTTTTATGCAAAAAAACCCCATCCACACTGCTTGTATTTCGGCAAAAACCCCTAGTGTTTTTGATAGGCAGAAAATACGCAAATGAGATTGCAGCTCATGCAAATGAGTCCCTTATTAGCATATTTTTTGCCCAGAAAACTCATAGTGTAGATGTAGCCCTTGTGCACTGTTCAAGGAAAAGATAATATGTGATCAAATAACTAGGAGCTGTATCACAAGGGGGCCAAATTTAGGTTCATGTGAAATCTTAATTTTGGCATTTTCTAACTTCTGAGTGCTTAACCTCACAACCTTAACATTCTTTCAAGATTATTTTCTATGAGTGATGTATGTCTATAACATACACTGTATTGTTTACACAGATATATATATGCACAGACACAAACAGACGCAGACAATCATCAGCATAATCTTTCAACTCAGGACATAGATCATTTTGTGTTCTGGATGTATGTATATTATTTTAAATCCCAGTAATAAAGCACGGAACATAAGAGTTTAGAATTGACAAGCTGATAGATCCTTAATTACAGGAGTGGATAGGCCCTGCTCTAATACTGAATATGATAACTTGTGAAAAATAAAACTACAGAGACAAATTTAATTGCAACTTTTTTTAAAGTTACCTGTTTTGCTGTTTCAATCAGAGCAGCAGCTTCAGCCTTGCCCAGTTGTTGCACCATCTTGTATAACAGGCTCTCTTTTTCTTGTAGCAAAATGTATGGCTCATTATATTCTTTTAGTCTTCCTGCATCTAAAACCTGTGAATTAGCAGCAACACTACTATTAACACTTGAAATTCTAAAATAACATATTATCATTCATTAGCTCCAATAGTAGGGATGATAGGTGGGGTTTTTAGACTGTATTCTTTAATTTAATGTTAATATACATTTTATGGAATGAAAATTGGATGTTCTAATACCCTTTTAGAAGAAGCCCAGTATATTTTCTAGACCAGATGTTCTGACCTTTTTCTTTTGGAGACCCTCCTCACATGCTGTAAAAACTCCACAGCCTGGGGAGAGCCTCTGGGCTTCAACTGTGGGGAGCTGCCCCAGCTTCAGTCCTGGACGGGGAGGAGTTCTCCCTTATAGGGCTGGGGAGGAGTACTCAGAAGCCTTGCATAATGGGAGGGCTTGAGTATTCTACCCTGAAAGGTGTGGGGCTCAGGGTTTTGCCACTTGGGGAGGGGGGACAGCTTGGGTTGTTAGTCCTGTGGTGCTGGACTTCGGTCCCATGGGATGCTTCTGCTGGGGCACTGCCGGGATAGGTCTTCAGCCCTGAAGGGAGCCAGAGCACAAGGCTTCAATCACATGGGATGCAGGAGCTTGGGGGCGGGGGCATCAGTATTATGGGGTCCCTGGGCTTGGGACTTCTGCCGTGCAGACTGCTGGCATGCAGGACTCTTAAGCATTGGGCGTTGGAGCTCTGAGCAGCACCCCAAGTGATCTGTAGCTCCCCCGTTGAGAACCATTGTTCTCTAGACTATGTGTACAATTTATACTGCTCTAAAGTAATTTTTACTATCTGGATGCAAACAGAGATACTTTAGAATATGGAAATCCAACACGAGTGAAACCACTAAAGAGGACTATCAATTACTGCGTTCATTGTACAAGAAGAAAGTTTGGAGGGCAAAAATGGAATTTAAGGTCTTAATAGCTGAAGATTCAGAACAAGCTACAAGTAATTTCTGAAATATTTCACAAATACAAGATAAGGACAATGCTGAGAAGCTAAATAGTTTCTTTCACAGGTCTTCACCATGAAGTATGTTGGGAAGATACCCATCCAATTATTCCTTGTAATAAAGATGAGATACTATCAAAGACAAAGGTGTCAAAAGAAGAAATGCTAGAAAAAAATTATAAATTAAAAAATTGATGTCATATGCTCAAGGATTTTGAAAAAAAAGTGAGTGAATTATTAGAAAAATGTGTAATGTATCATTACAATCAGTCACTGCTAAAGAACTAGAAGGTAACAAATATTATACAAACATATTTAAAAGATACCGGGGGGGGTGATCAGGAAAATTACAGACTATTAAGCATTTCTACTGTCCTTAGCAAAGTAGACTACTTTCCTCTGTCAAACTTATAATTTTGATAAAAATAATTAAAAGTAGAACTATAAAGCACTTAGTAGGTTATGATAAAATAAGATCTACCACTATGGCTTCTGCAAAGGAAAATTATGCCTCACAAATTTATTAGAATTGCTAAAATGCATCAATAACACAGTAGATAAAGAAGTGGTTGAAAACTGATTTGGACTTTCAAAGGCTATAGAAGGAACTAAGTACACATGGTGCTAGAGACAAAAAATATTAATTATTCAGGATTTCATTAAGAGACAGAAAACAAAGAGTAGAAATGGTCAATTTTTACTTTAGCAAAATCTTAAGAGCAGGATACCACAAAATTCTATACAAAGACTGATGTTCAATATATTTATTTCTCTTCTGGAAAAGAGGTGAGCATTGAGGTGACAAAACTTGCAGATGACACAAAATTATTCAGGTAAGTCGAGACCAGAGAAGACTGTCAACAACTTCAGAGGACCTTAATCAAACTAAATAAATGAGCACCAAATGGCAGATGAAAATCAATTCTTACAAAGTAATGCATGTTGGAGGGAACTCTTAACTACTCTGATACTCTACTGGTTTCTAAATTAACTGTATAACTCAGGAAAAAGTCTTGGGTATCATGGTGTGCAAAAAGTAGTTAAGTGACTATACTATGTGCAGTAGTAGTCAAGATATCAATCAAAATGTTAGGACACAGAAGGGAATTGACCTGAAAATAATAGAAAAATATTTTTATATAAAATAGTGATATATCCTTACCAGGAATATTGTACTCGGTTTTGTAAAGGATACAGAAAGACAGGGATAGATGATGATAAGGATTAAAGAGGGAAAAAATCCTATGGAGAGATGTTAAAGAAACTGGGGTTATTTACTTTAAAGAGTCGAATAACAGGGAACATGATAAAATATTCAAAATAGTAAGTAGTAAGGAGAAAGTAGCTCTAAAGATCTGTTCTCCCTGTCTCATAACAAAAGACCAGGGGATACATAATAGCATTGAATGGGGACAAATTCAAAGTGATACATAGGAAACTGCTTCATAAAATGTTCAGCCTGCCTGTAGTGCCCACTGTGACAATATTTCATTAATGGCAATAGGTTAGATGGATTGAAGAATGGATTGGATGTTTACATGTATAACAATAACATACAGATTATAATGATAATAGGAAGTGATATAAATTGTCCTATTTCAGATTGAAAGTCAAACTCCTACTTCTATGAGTTAGGAGAACACTGAAATAGTAATCCCAGAATGGTGAAGTTTCTTACACTTTTCTCTACAGCTGTTAATACTGGTGCCTGTCAGTGACTACAAGACTAATTGGAACGATGAACTGATTCATATGGCAGTCCCATATAAAAACAGTTTTTCTTAGTGCTTTTTGCTAGTGTGTTTTAAACATCTGCACTTAGATTGGGAAATTCAAACTCTAAGCATTTAGTTAAATTATAATGTACCAGTTAATATACATTTAGAAATATAAAGATTTATTATATTTGAACATATGATAATTAAGATAATATGTAGCAATTATTACAAAAACAGTTTGCAGAGAAGTAGCTATAAACTATTTTTCCATTTTGAAAAGCTTTTATACTATGCAATTAATTCCTCTAGAGAACAATATGTATCCTATACTGCTATGTATATTGAAGTACAAAGTGCTAATGGAACTTTTGCAAGCTAAAGTCATATTACATAGCATAAAAATCACTTTTGCTCTATAATAAATGCTCAAAATATGTCACCAGGTCAGGCATTAATTACACACAGAGATATTTCAATATTCTTAGACCTATCATTATTAATTTGCATATATAAGGATAAATTACAAATGTAACTTAAATTGCAATCTTTTGTTTACTACAGTAAATCATAGTTAAGTACAGCCTTCTGAACTATTTAAGGATATCTGAATCTATCATAAACATAGTACCTACATAATAATTAAGATGACCTATAATTTGGCATTCTAAAAAATGCCTTGAATGTGCAATTTTTTAAGTATAGCACTTTACTGTGTAACCTCTCCTTACAAAATCAAAGACAAAGCATGTACTGTAAATACAGGACACTCTCTCTGTCTCAGGTGAAGAACTAAGTAAATAACTTAATTTTATCAAAAATGTAAAATGCGGTTTTATAATATTATGAATTACAGCTTGTGCTAAAGCTATAAAGAATGTTGTGAATATTACAAAAAACAAACCGCTAGACAAAATTTGAAGTTTTTGACTTATAAAAGATTGCCTAGATTGCCTGGAATTTACTTATCGAAAGACTGCTTCTTCACTGTGCTATACTATTACCACAGCCGCATTCAAAGGGGACAGATGAGCTGGAGCCCTCCCAGTATCGGAAGGCAGCAGCCAATGCGGCATTATCCATGCTACGCCTCAGCTTTAGAATTCACTCTCCTCTTTAGTCTGAAACAGCTCTGGTTTATCAAGCTTTGGAGCAGCATGAAAGGCCAATATGCTTTGCCTATCTGTGAGTTCTAAATTATTTTAAATATGTTTTTCACTGTTGGATTATCATAAATAGATATGAATATTTATTAATGGTTAAAGGAGTGGTGGGGTTATAGGTATGGTTTATTTGGTACTTATATATTTAAGTCCATGAATGCCTACAGTAGAAGACAGGCACTCTACTTTAAGTGGACAAATACAAAAATAAAATTTAAAAAAATATCTTTTGACCAAGAGGCACACTTAAAATGAATAGTACTTAACTGCAAGAGTTAGACCTATTAAAAATCAATATTACTATTCACAAAGTAAGCAGCTGCTCAGTGTAAGAAAGGCAGAATCTGGCCCTTACTCACTGACACTAATCTTCTGATCAAATTACAGTACATCCAAAGTGTAACTCATGCCACTGCAAAATACGACTAAACTCAGCCCAGACACTTTCCCAGATAGTTGTAACTGTTGAATTTGGTCTAGAAAGGCCAGACAGCTTTACAGTTAGCAAGATCATACAGAAGTAAGATAACTATGGAGATACGTGTTAGTATTAGACCAAATCTTGATTTTAGTGTACGTGCTGACAGATTTTATCTGACACACCTTAGACAAATCACTTAATTTCTCAGTGCCTCAGTTTCACTATTTGTAGCCTCACAAAACTGTTGAAAGGATTATGAACTGCTTGTAAAGTTCTTTGAGAGCTCTAGATAAAAGTGCTTATGAATGTAACCAGTGGTATATAAATTAGGGCCGTGTAGCAGCATTATTTCGAGAGAAAACCCTCTCCTCAGGAGTAACAGTTATTTCGAGAGAAGGGCTTTCTCTCGAAACAACGCTGCTATACGGGGCGTTTTATTTTGCAATAATGCGATTTCAAAATGGTGCCAGGATGCGATTGTGCTAATTAAACGCAGGATATTTAAATCCTGCGCTTCATTAGCAATTTCGGTACACTACATTGCATCCCTATCTCAAGATAGGGAGCAAGTGTAGACGTACCCTTATTTATGTCTGTGTAAAGTGAGTGTAAAAAGTAACCATTCTGATTGGGCAGTATTTTTCACCCACTTTGCACTCATTCTGATCTAACATACATGACTACACAAGGAACAAAGCTGAGGAAAGTCAGACCCTTATAGGTGCTGTTCTTATGAGTCAGAATAACTCACATGAGTACAAGTTTACAAC